CATTATCTAGTCAGGAGGTCCACGAACTGATGCAAAGGCAGTTGCAATGTTAGCTCGAGGAGATCCGAACCGAAAGTGCCCACCGCCGAACTGCAAGATAGATCAGCCCAGCAGACTTCAGGGAGGTTGAAGTCACCCAGTATTAGACACCTATTGGCAGCCTGAGTACGAATAAATTCAATAACCTCCCTGGAGATACTTCCAGGACTTCGATATACCACTACAACTGTAAACTGAGCAGAGGAAGTGCACACAATAGTCGACAGGGCTTCAACAGTTTGATCCGGCGACTGGAACACACAGGTCCTCAACACATCAAGTTTACAACTCACATAAAGAGCGACGCCCCCACCTTGGCGGCCAACGGAGCGATCACATCTAAGCAGTGCGTAGCCAGGTAAACATACTTCACCGTCTGTGATATCCGGGGACAGCCACGTTTCGGTGATAGCAAGTATGTCGGGACGAGATTTGTCTACAAGTAGACCCACCTCGTGTACCTTGTTCCTTAGGCTACGCACATTACTAAGCACTACCCGAAGGAACTCGGCACGACCAGCCCTGGGTCGTACGCTACCAGGAGGGGTTCTGGTAGGGCAGAATTTGACTTCCGGCTGACCACCTGAAAACCCACAAGACGAAGGCCTTGCTCACCAGCCGCCCGCCTGCTCTTGAGGCTTTTGATGGCTTCCTTTAACTTCAGTCGATCTGCCAGTGGGAGGTCCGGCTGAACGCTGACATTACTACCCTTGAGTTTGAATGCAAAGCGCATTAACGCTTTGCGTTCCTCCGGGGTTGAGAGGACTACACGAAGTAGTCGGGGTCGCGGATTTGGCGTATCTACAGGGACGTTCCCCAATCTGGTTAGCTTCCTGATAGTGACACCGGGGAAACCAGGTGGAAGCATCTTGTTGACGCAGAGCTTGAACCACTGGAGGTCATCCAGCATGCGTTCCTTGGGAAGAGCTGCCGCGGATTCAGCAACGTTACGAAAGATAACGCTACTATCAGTAAAAGAATCACCTCGACGAGGCGTATTCACTCCACGAGTCTTCGACTCGACCCAGTTTCGACCGGTTTGGCAGGTGACACGGCGCGTTTCTTCGCCAAGGGAGCTGGAGTAATTGAGGTTGAGGCTTTGTGTTCTACCTCCAACTCCCTCACCGGTCTAGTCTTTTCAGACTTTGCGGGTGTGGCCGAAGTCGACACGGCGCGTTGCTTCGCCAATGGAACTGGGGTGATTGGAGTTGGAGCTTTGTGCTCCACCTCCAATACCTTAATGGTTTCAGTACCTTCAGGCTTTGAGGGAGCCTTACGGACTTTCTTAGCCCTCTTCCTCTTGCTTTTATTGGGCACAGGGGCTATAAGTTCGGTCTCGCTTTGGACGGCTTCCAGTACGACATCAGAGGCCTCTTTAGAGGCATTCTGGACCGCTGGGGCACACGACACGGTAGCCATCACCTCAGTCGGATTTTCATCGACAGCAATTGAGGTTAGTTGCGTGTCTTCCTCCAATGAGCCGACATCAATAGAGACTCCCATTTTCCTCATCAGTAACTCCACTTTCCGATCAAGAGATGTGAGGAAAGACCACAACTGCTGGTTACCCAGCCCGACGTTGCTCGATGTCTCCTCAGTGACCTCAAGACGCGTAGATCGACGGCGACGGCATAGAAGACAATTGAACAGCATGCTATCGCTAGTCGAAAGCATTGCGTACTGATCAGGGCTCAAATCGGTACAGGTCTCATGGTACCAGCAGTTGCATACATAGCACTGCATGCCACCAGACTCGTCGTCACGGGCTTTGAGCAGCTCACGCTGCCGCATACAGCATTAGATTCGCTGATCAACGCAGCCGAAGACACATTAGCGCCGGTATTCAGTGAATCCGACATGACGCTTTCAAAGAGTGTGAAACAAGTATCAAAACGTAAAACCGACAAGCTGTTACCTGCAGGGCAGTCAACAGAAACAGTTACGGGTTAAAACAAGGTGCAAAACGGATTACAAAACACAAAATACCGGAAAAATAGCCAGAGGATCCAAAACGGGTACGACGTAATCCGGGGAAAACGATGATCCAAAATTATTTGGATCAAGCGAAATTTGACAAAAGTCAAATTTTTTGCACGACACTTGTAAACACTGTTCCGAAACTGTCCTTTGAAAGTAAAACCTCAAAAAGACAGCACGCACCGGGGTTCTAACCAATCTGTTCAAGTTCAAGTGGGACTGGAACGATAGGAGAATTCCGTGAGTGTTCCATCTTGAGTGGATGGTTGAGCCAGGAATTGATGAAGTGCTCAGTTATTGATGGATCTAAAACAGAACACCCGTATCGCACCCTGGCCAACCAGTTAATGCCCACGTTTCCTGTCCTAGCGGTCCCTGCTGTGGCAGTCACGTGAAGTAAGCAAAGGATAGGAAGAGAAATCGAAGGTACAGAATAAGGAAGTACATTTGAAATAAGAAAATAATACCAAGGCGTAAAGAAAAGAAAATCGAAGTACAAAGATGCCAGTTACTCAGGAAAATGGAAAGGTTTCGTGTTGCCACCCAAGAGCGTCAAGTTGCCGCTCAAACCCCTTAACCGTAGATTCCCTGATAACACTTTCCGGAAGCATGTTCCAGCGCTCGATGTCTGCGTGACAGCCGGATTTCCGCCCTAATCCGATCGGACCGCGGTTTGTCCTGCTTCAAGGAATGACCGCGTAGAACAGACAATCTAGCGGGACTGAATAGCCAAGATAAATCTGGACCAACCTTCCCAGTTAAGATACGGTAGGTTAAGATTAGGTCTCCTCTAAGTCTTCGGTAGTGCATTGAATGCATTCCCAAACTAAGTAGACGATCGGGGTACGTCCGTCCCCGTAATCCCACGACCAATCTAGTACCCACGCGTAAAACCCTCTCTAGCTCCATTTTGTCCCGGATGAGGCAGGGCGGACAAGCCTGGACGCAGTATTCCAGAAGAGACCGAACGGAAGCCGAGAACAGTCACGTAAAGATGCCGCACGTCAAGACTCTGAAAGAACGTCGTATTAACCACAGCATGCGGAAACCTCTGCTTGCTGCCATCTTCCAGTTGTCGCCGGAGTGTAAAGCCGAAGAGTGTACAACGCCTAGGTCAACCTGGCTAGATACACGGGGGAGTTCGACCTCACTGACCAAGTACTTCGTAGGATGACAACCTCCTCCAATTCGAAGAACGGAGCAATTTGCTTGATTTATGGGAAGTAACCATAAAGTAGACCAGTCACAAAGCTTATCCAATGCTCGCTGAATAGCTTCGGAACCCCCAAGAACATCGACAATGTTCCACAGATTCAGGCCATCAGCAAATAGCAGCGATGGTACCTCAAGCTCAGCGGGTAGGTCATTCACATAGATAGAGAACAGCAGCGGTCCAAGGACCGAGCCCTGCGGCACGCCACTGAGGACAGACTGCCTAAACGATAGGCCGCGGCATACCCGTACACACTGTTCTCTACCCTCCAAGAAGGCAGTCACCAAATGAAGAGCGCGGCCAAATACCCAGTAGAAGGTCAGCTTTTGCGCGAGCCTCAAATGGGGTACCTTGTCAAATGCCTACAAAAAGTCGACGAAAAGCAAGTCCAGTGTATGACCGTTATTCACTGCATTCGCCCAACTTTTACGAGCCAGCAGTAGATTCGTCAGACAAGAAAATCCCTTCCGGAATCCGTGTTGTAGATTGCTCAGATGACTCTCCAATGAATCTCTCAACAGTCTCTCGAGGAGTTTGAATACTACAGTCGTCAGACTAACTGGTCTGTAATTTGCAGGCAGACTCCTATTCCCATTTTTGAAGATGGGACAGATGACAGCTTCCTTCCATTCGGAAGGTAATGCACAACTGTCAAGTGATTTCTGAAACACCATAGCGAGCGGTCCATTTAGTTCCGCAGCCAACTCATGCAACAGTTTTGGGTGAATTAAATCAGGCCCAGAGGCCTTAGAAGGGTTCAGCCCTTGTAACAGCCTATGAACTTCCGTCTTCGCTCCAATAAATTCAGATAGTCCTGAACTCTCTGGGATCCTGCAAACCAGCTCAACACCCATCAAAGAGGTTTCCCTTACAAACGCTTCCGCATATTGCCCACTAGGTACGGAGGCCTTGTCATAGTCCGTATGCGCATGAGTACCGTCATCACGTATCAATACTGGAATTGACATGTTCGAACCGCAGCGCATTTTGACATAAGCGAAGAATCTTGTTGGATTCTCTGAAGCTTTGCCTGCTAACCCATTCTCGAAATTGAGCTGAGCATCCCTTAGGTGTAGCTTACACCTATTTCTAGCCTTACGGTACCTGTCATAATTATCGATGGACGGAGCATCTCGGTAAGCACGCCAACATCTAGACCTCTTTGTTAGCAGATGCCTACGAGTGGAATCTGTCCAGCGCGGCTGTGCTCGTGCCTCCTTTCTCCTTGTGACTGGGATAAAGGGAGCAGAGACATCTGTGAGGTAGGACTTGAATTTATCCCAGGCAACCTGGACAGTATCGTCATCTGAGATCTCACAATGCAAACCCGAAGCCTTGGCTCTCATTGATTGATAGCCTGCGTGCCATATGTTTGGGCGACTCAACAGTACTCTGGTAGCGCCTAGACAGAGTACAACTGAAGAGCAAATAAACATTATCACTGGAACCCAGAGGAGGTCCGTAAGTAATGTCACCAACAAAATCGTATGACTTAGCAAATACAAGGTCTGAGATAGACGGTACTTAGGCGTCCATGTACCTAGTGGGGAGGTCAATGAACTGATGCAACGGTACTTGGAGCGTAAGCTCAAGCAGATCAGGGCCGACATATTTGTGAAGCTGTTCTCAGCTTTCGTCCGGCCCCATCTAGAATACTGCGTCCAGGCTTGCCCGCCCTGCCTTGTTCGGGACAAAATGGAGCTCGAGAGGGTTTTGAGAGTAGGTACCAAATTGGTCGAGGGGTTACGGGGGCAATCGTACCCCGAGCGTCTACTTAGCTTGGGTATGTATTCAATGCACTACCGATGGCTTCGAGGAGACCTAATCCTTACTTACCGCATTTTAACAGGGAAGGTTGGACCGGACTTGAGCTGGCTGTTTAGCCCAGCTAGGTTGCCTTGTCTTCGCGGTCATCCCATGAAGCTACACAAGCTGCGTTCTGATCGGATCAGGGCGGAAACTCGGTTTTCGAGTAGAGTTATCGAGCGCTGGAACTCGCTTCCAGAAAGTGTAGTCAGTGAACCTACGGTTAAGGATTTTGAGCGTCAGTTTGAAACTCTGACCATATCCATCTTCAAACTTAGTTCTTATTCTGTCATTCTCTTCACTCTTTGGTGTTATCCTTCATTTTAATGACTTTCATTCCCCTTTATCTCCCTTTTTCCTACTTCTTTCTTACTTCACGTGCCCTACACAGCGGGGACTGATAGTGCAGGGAACGTGGGTAGTAATTGGTTGACCAGGGTGTGTTTCAGGTATTTCGTTTTAGATCTATCAAGAACTAGCACCTTATCATTTCCTGGCTCAATGATTTGCTCAAGAAGGAGCACTCAAGGGATTTACCTATCGTCCCAGTCCATCTGAATCTGAATGAACACGACACCAGAGGGCATCAAACTTATCGTCGCTGCCGCTGATCGCTTCAACTACGTGTACTTTGATATCAGTCTTCCAATAGACCATTCATCATCATCATACACATTAGCTAGAGGTGGGGAACACCTCAGCTACTGTGCCGCAATACATAAAAGAAGGAGAGAAAAAAATGCAACTGGTGCAAGCTGGCTGAGCTACCGGTAACGGATGGGCATCGTTCCGGTAAGCTACCAGCCGGCTGCTGTGCACCCAAAAAAATTACTATGCAAAATTATATAAGGCTAAGTAATGAGATCGTGGTTG